CCCCCCCCACAGGAGTTATCAGGATATTTCTGGCACCAAGTTGAACTCTTCTTGGTACTTCTGGCAATGACAGATCTTCAGGACAGATTTATCTGCTAAATGCTCTTGGGCAGGAAAAAAAGTAAAACTCTGGAAGCAGTATAAGGGTAGCAGAGCAGAGATCCCTCCCTCGCTGCTCACTGTCACAGAAAATCAGCCTGGACTCGAATGAAGATTCATCCTGCCTCATTCACCTCCAGAGCCCACCTGTTCCAGGGAGATCTGGTGTTTTCAGGCTGCTTCCTGTGGCCCTTTTTACTATCGTTCTACTCCCAAGCTTTCTCTCCAGGCCGTTGAATGATGTGAACTTTGGAATGGAGTTTGTTTTCTGTTGGGAACTTGCTTCCTTTCCTGGGCTGGTGCTGTCTGAGAGGACCATCTGAAGGCTGTGTTTTGTTCTTAGGGAGGAGGGCATGGCCATGCCTGGACCCTCCACCATGTTCCTGTTGCTGCCTTTTGATAGCCTGATTGTCAACCTTCTGGGCATCTCCCTGACTGTCCTCTTCACCCTCCTCCTTGTTTTCATCATAGTCCCCGCTATTTTTGGAGTATCCTTTGGTATTCGAAAGCTCTACATGAAAACGTTGTTAAAAATCTTTGCGGTGAGTTGTGCTGTTTACAAATGGTTGCTTCACAGAGGAGGAAGAGAGTTCTTCTCTGGTTGGTGGTTCTCTCTTTATTGGATATAGAGAAAGTTGGGAGAGTGGGAAGTGGCATTTTGAGTAAAAAGAGTAACTAAATGTGTGCTTGTAAAAGGCTTTAGCAGCCTTTCTTTTGAGCAAAGGTACTTGTGTATTTGATTCATCTCAGCAAAGGAACCTATTCCATGACTCTACATGTTCCGTGTTTATTTCAAAGAGGGGGCCTTAAAATTGAAGGGAAAAAAACACTGCCAGACCCCACTTATGTAACAGATACTGAGACAAAGCTGCTGCTGAAATATTCCTTTGTTGATAAGTATGGGAGAGTTTTTTTCCTCTCCTTCAAATTTTTATTTTAAATAGGTTCTTGCATTTCAGACCAAAATAATTAGTTTAAAAAAAGGGCATTTGATGAAGTTTTATTTTCTTGAAGGTAGAGGAGATGGATAATAAATTCCTTAACATATGTCAGAACCTAATTAATCATACTGATAAACAAAAACTGGTCATAATGTAAAAGAAATGCATGAGAAGTGTATTTCCTCTAAGCTGTTCTGTGCCCCAAGACTTTTATTTTTATTTTATTTTATTTTTTAATTGATTGATTTTTAGAGAGAAGGGAAAGAGAGAAACTTTGATTTGCTGTTCCACTTATTTATACATTCATTGGTTGGTTCTTGTATGTGTTCTGACTGGGGATCGAACTCACAACCAAGACTTTTAATATCCAAAGATTTGGTAATTTTTAGCAATATCTGTTTTCACTCATCACCAAATCTTTACGTATTCTTTTCTACAACTTGAGACCACTTGTAATTTGAGAAATGCACTTAAAATAGTAAAAACAGTATTTAAGTATGCACTTAAAATAGTAAATATAGTATTATTTGTTCATATAGATCTAATAACAGTTTACAGAATAATTTCATTTTTCTTTGGTTTCTTATAATTCTGCAGTGGATAGGTTACCTACATTTTATTAGTGAAGAAATAGAGACTCAGAAAAATGGTGAACTATATGAAATGTTTTATTACAGTGGGATATTTTTAAATGTATATCATTGAATATTGGGTGCTGTCTTTTGGTATTTAATATTCCTATAAAAGTATGATTTTTTTATATTTTGAAAATTGAGGTGAAATTGACATAAAATGAATCATTTTAAGGTGAACAATTTAGTGGCATTAACTGTATTCACAATGCTACACAACCACCAGCTCTACCTAGTTCCACAGCATTTTCTTTACTCCAAAAGGGAACCCCATACTTATTAAGCAGTTACCCCCGCTTTCCCCTCCCCCAGCTCCTGGTAACCAGGAAGGAGTCTGTTTCTGGATTTACCTATTCTGGATATTTCATGTAAATAGAATCATATTAAATGTGCTCTTTTGTGTCTAATGGGCTTCATTCATTTAGCATAAAGTTTTCAAGAATCATCCACTTGGTAACATGTTTCAGTACTCTTTTAATGGCTGAATAATATTTTATTGTGTGTCTTTACCATAATTTGCTTAATGATTGATGGGCTGTTTCCACCTTCTGGCTATTTTCAATAGTACTGCTATGTATATATGTACTTGTTGAGTACCTGTTTTCAGTAATAGGATTTTTGAGCACTGCTTATGGTCTCGGGTTATCTAGTTCTTCGCTACTCAGGGAGAGGTCTGGAGACCAGCAGCATGAGGATCACCTAAGAGCTGGTTAGAAATGGAGGTCTCAGGCCCACTCCAGACCTACTGAATTATAATTTGCATTTCAACAAGATTCAGGTGATTCATATGTACATTGAAGTTTGAGAAGTGGTACTTGAATCAGTCTTTGGACTAGTTACTAATGTATTGCGTTTATTTTAACTAACCAGGGAATCTAATTTTCTTAAGTTTCAGTCCAAGAAAATCTTCAGTAGAGCCAGGGTACCTGTGGACCATATAACTTACTACCCATGCCCTTTTGTCACTGTGACAAAAACGTATAACGGTATAGAATCAGTAGAACAGCTCATAAGCTTTTAGGAGATAACAAGTGATGTCTAGCTTTTATTCAAGTTTATAAGCAAGTGATTAATTCATAGACCTGTGGAGATCCTTAGTTTTTAAACATAGAAATAGGAGTTATCAGCCTCTAGGGGTCTTCTGTAGTAGCTAAGATTTTTTAACTTGGATCACTTTGGGTGGGACAAAGGCCTAGAATCCAGGTATACTCCCTACTCCATTTGAAAATACCCCCCCAAATCAATATTTTTAAGTTCATAGCCAGGTAAATCTTCCATATTATGACTGTATTTTTAAATGTACATTCTTGTGACTTTTAGGGCAGATGGAAAATTCATTAAATATATATTGTTTGGCCAATCCATAGACAGGTAATCTTATGCCATCAGTGACTCTGCTGACCACATCTTGAAAATCACTGGTTTGGGGCACACTGATTTAGAAGTGATAATGGAAGTAACGTGTATATATGTGTGTGTACGTATGTGTTCCCCTTTTTTCGCCTCAAGATTTAGAATTTCAAGAACTAGATTTGCACCTCTTATTTCCTAGAGATGTGGATCAGGCATTCAACGGGCCCTATTTCTCCGTCCTATTGAGTATCGTGGGTAATTACTACTTGGTGACAAACTAGAGTAAGGGGTGGGCTAGAAAGAACTGATACATACCAGCAAGGGCATAGGGTGGCTCACTCTCTAATAAGGGTTACTGCTCTGAATTGATCTTAATGGATAGTAAGAACTGAATGCTATTTTTTTAATCAGCAGTAGTATTAGATATGTTAGATTTGGCCAAACTGGTTTTAGATCTTGGAAAGCATACATCTGTATATCCATGTATACATCTAAAATACACCTATACTTGTGGGTGGTTTTTAATAGAGGAGATATTTTTATTTTGCCTTTATTTAGCCTCTTCATTCCCTTCTAAATTGGGTTGATTGTGTGTGTGTATGTGTGTGTGTGTGTGTGTGTGTGTGTATATATATGTATATATAAATAAAATTTTGCAGCTGGAATAAAGCTCAGTGATTGTGTTAACCCTGAGGGTCTATCTCTTCCAACTGCACATTTGAATCACCTGAGAAAGCCATTTTAAAAGTACTTATTTGGGAACACTAGAATCTCCCCAGAGATTCTGATTTAATTGGTCTGGGTGGGCATCTTTTAAAACTTTCCAAGTGATTCTGATGTCTGCCATCGAAAGATGGAGTCTGACTTCCTCTTGAGTGGGGACCTTCTTATAACTTGTTTCTCACAAATAGAAAGTGTTGTGTGTGACATGTGAGATTAGGTTAGAAAGGGCAATGTAACTGCTGTCTGATTCCAGGCCACACATAAGTGTTCCAGCTCACAGCCCCAGGGGGCTCTGACAACCAGCATCAGTGCCTCACACAGGAGTGAGCAAGCCTTCGGAGAGGTCCAGCCCCCAGCCTTTGAGCCACACTGCTGATTCCACACTCTGTAATTCGAAGATTCCTGAGCAAAATGAATGATGGTAGTGTTTTAAGCCACTGAGTTATAGGGGGGTTTGTTATGTAGCAATAGATAACCAAACATAATATAATATTAAAGAATTTTAAACATTCATTCATGATCTACAGCTTACAGCACCTTAAAATCTTTTTGCATTACCTTTCAGTCTTTGGCAATACACTGTTTTATGGTTGTGTTGATAGCATGTACATAAAATTTAGTATCTGTGTTTTATCAGCCATTTTTGCATTGTACTAGATAATGTCAAGTATTAAAACTGGATATCTAATACACCTGTGCACTTGACGGACCCAAGTAAACCCTGGCTTAACAACTAGTTTCCCATTATTAGTTCTTTTTTCTATGTAAAAGAACCTTGGTATGATACCTGCCAGGGAGGGAATATAGAGAGAATATGGGTGGGTCAGTGTCTTTTCTGTTACCTCTCCTGGAATACTTAAGCCAGTGCAGGTCCTTTTAATGCTGAGTCATGGAAAATCTCCATGTGCAGAGGGCAGCATATTATTTAAAGTGTTTTAGTTTTCTTATAATGTTTGTGCTCCAGATTTACCCTCAAGACAGTGGTCAGGGTATTGTTTGGGGTAGAATTCCTAGGAGTGGACTTTCAGCTGAGTTGAGAATGTTTTGGGAAGGAGAGAAGAAAGCCTGGCTGTAAAGGAGAAAGGTGAATATAAACATTGTGAGTTATCTTGCTGACATGGGAAGGGTTGATCGGGTCAGGTTAGAGAGGGTGGGAGAGTTGTAATCTGATAAACATTAAACTCCAAGACAGAATTGATTGATGGAGAGTCATAGAAACCATGAGGAAATTGAATAGACTGTGCAGGTAGTGGTAATGGGGTAGCATGAACATGAGTTTCTAAATCCAGGGCTTTTCCTACCAGCTCTTAAACTTGACCTAAGTCATCAGACGTTCCAGTCTGCTTCCTCAGAGAATGGGAGTAGTAATACATACCTCCCATGGTTATGAGTGAAAGAGGTCATTTTAATCAGGTATGTCCTCCCTGCCCCGTGAGAAGGGCAATTTTAACACAGCCTTGAGTAGCTTAAATGACGAAATCAAGAAGAGGAGAGTGTGATATGATGGGGTAGGTGATGTGAAGTAGTTTTAGGTTTTGTCATTTCAGGTTTATCTTTACATATGGACCTTGATGAAAAGAAATATTGGGAGTTGGTTAATTAAATGCAGCCTTTAAAGACTGCGTACTAAGTGCAAGGCACTCTATCAGATTATGCTGGAATTCCAAACGGGTAGGTTCTGGCTCCTGCTCCTCACTGTATTTATTATAGTCCAGTCGGAAGGACAAGTAGATGCACACACAACTGGTTCATACTGCGATGACAGTTAAAATACACAAACCAAGTAAAATTCTGACTGCAGGAACTGGGTAGATAACATTTTATATAAGATGTTGGCGTTTGAACTGGATCTTAAAAAGCAAAATCATTCTAGAAGTGCCGATGAGAAATACAGTCTTATTTAGAGACAGTACGTAGTTGTATAGAGTAAAAATGTTGGGTGCATGGAGGGAATAAGGTAGACCATAAAGCCGAGTATTTTCATTAGGCGTTGAGAAGCCATTGAAGGTTTCTTAGCAAAGAAGTGATATGGTCAGTCTGGCAGCATGCGTTCGGATGGGTAGGAGGAAGGAAAGAGCAATTAAAGAGTTGTTGAATTAGTAGTGTAGGCTGGAGAAGAAGCCAGTGAACAAAGGGAGTGGCATGACACAGAGGCAGCTGTGAAAGACAGCCTCAGGGGAGGATTGATAGGAGTTGGTGACAGATGGGAAGCCTGAAAGCTTGGGTGACAGAGGGATAGTGATCTCAGCACTAGAGGAGGAGGGCTGGATGGATACACACCGGGGGTTGGAAGGAGGTAGGCTGCCTTTAATTCTCAACCTGCTGGATGGTGAGGGCTGGTGGGACTTGGTGTGGAGATGACCAGCAGGTGGTTGGAAATGTGAGGTTGGCACTTTTGTCAAGTCAAAATTTGTAGATTTGGCAGCAGCTACTTAGAGGTTATAGCTGAAGCAGGGAAAGAAGAAGGGTTGTTAAAAGATGTAGCCTTTGCTTGGGACTTAGAAGGTAATGGATGACGGGAGCCGGATTTTAAGGGTCTGATTCTTTGGGTATGTCTAGCTAGTTCATAGGAAAATGCAATGGAAGCTGCATTTGGAGGGGAAGGTTTCTGCTGAGATTACTGTTGCTAAAACTGTTAGACCTTATCATGTGATTAGTTCCTAAATTGTAGGTCCAGTGGAATGAATAACTAGTGATAAAGTGCACCATCGAACCATCTGCATTTCACCTTCCAAGGTCTGCCTTGGGTTTAGTGTTACCTAGGAGTGCAGCATTGTTAATGCCCTTAAATGGTCTCTTCTCTGTCCGCTAGAAGCTGAAAAGGGAATAATTTAGTAATCTGATACTGACAGGGTAGTAAATGGCATCTCACAGGGGAAGGGAGAGGTTTATAAGGAAATGAACTGTGAACCTAGGATTTTCAGTTTTATTCTGGATATCTAAGCACTGTACTTCTTAAAGTGACAGCGCAGAGAAGCCAGTTGTGTAGTTATCAGACGTTGCTAATGTGCAGCGCCCCTTTCATTCAGTCCTCTGCATCAGGGTGAAGTAAGCCAGCCATTCCTTCACGGGCTATTCCCAGCTAATGACTGGGTTCCTCCAACCCTGCCTCCTTTTTCTTACTCTTGTGGCTGGACAGGTCTTTCCTAAACACAGAAGCATTTTCTAATGTACAAAGGAGGAGGGCAAAGGGATGTTTATGACAGAGCTTTGTCATAGAGCTAGAAGACATAGAATCTCATTTAAGCAGTACCTTTCCAATGAAAATAAAAAACCACAGCCATCTTAAATTTTGCATAGTGAAGCAGTCCTCACAGACATAATTCTAGTGTTCAGGAGGTCTGACGTCATATGTTACGTGCCTGTTGCATCCTAATCTAAGTATCAGAATTGTCAGTACAGAGCCAGTTCTGATTGTGTTCTGTTTTTCTGATTCTGACTATGCTTACGGTACAAATACAGAGTCTTGGCCAAAATGGAAAGCCCTTTAAACTCTGGTTGAGTGACTTGTCTGTGTGCCAGGCTGGTTGTGAACTTCTTGCCCCTCATTCACCTCTTCCCTACATGCAGTTCATCTTCCTCCACGTTAGGGTCATTTTCTTCTAGAAAATATCGTCCGTGCATAGAGCCAAAAGATATCACTGGCTAAATACCTGAAATACAGAAACTGCGTTATGTGAGTTTTTTTGCCTCAGACCTTGCTTTAGTGGGTGACTCTGTAAGCCATCTGTTTTTTTAGACAGTGGAGTTTGAAGAAATTTCCAGATGAGATCAGATCACTGATTAAACTCATGTCCTGTTTTTGGCTTTGCTTTTGGCTTTTGCTAATACTTCAGGCTCTGCCAGAAAAATCCACACCAAGTGCTTTGGGCCATGTGGATTTTGCTGTGTCATAGAATGAAAGAGTTCTTTCCCACCTTGCATAACTGGAAACAGTTTGAAAAGACACTTTTTAAGATATCTGTTTTATTTCTTTGATCACCATGGATATAACTTTCTATTCAGTGACAACATATTCCTGTAGGTAATAAGTGAGCTCATGTTTTCACCTCTCACTATTTGATAGTGGGAGAGACCCAGCCTCTGACTCTCTTTAGTTAAAAGGATTTTAATGAAGGAAGGGAGGTTCAGGAAGAGCCTCTTTTTTCTAGATCTCTTCCAGAGTTGATTATTATTTCAGTAATAATGAGGACAATTAGGGTATTAGGCAGTTGCCCTTTCATTTGATTCTAAGTGATCTTGTGATGTAGGAGGTTAACGTACTATCATTCTCTTTTGTAGATAGAAAGGACCAATAGTCAGAGTGTTGGGATGAGTTACTTAAGGGATAAAAGTGTCACACTTGGGATTTGAACCTAGATTTTTTTTTGGTTAAATCTCCAAATACTTTCCTAACACTTTTTTTTTTTAACACTGAGCCACTCTCAAGCCTTTCTATATCAAGTGGGGTTCTTCTGTTAAAAGGTTACTTAGAGGGTGAATGGACAGTCCAGACATGTCTATTATTTAAATCCTTTTACCTACTTGAAAACTAAAATTGTCACTTTCTTGGAATAATTTGGGAGGTATGCAGCATCAGGTGGCAGGCAGTAGCTTAAAGGGTGCTTGATTTTGCTGTTTGTGAATAGCTGCTGTTTGGTAGTGAAGAAGGAGTATGTGAGGTCCACGTACTGCCTGCTAGGGAGTTCCTTAAGGAACCTGGGACAGAGGGTTAGGCAGGGAGAAGCTATAAACTTACCCACACCCCTGAGATTCCAGCTCTTTCCTGTAGGTGGCTTAACTCTTGGTCTTAGTTATCAAGGGGGGCAACTGCTCTAGTACGAGAGAGCTTTGAACTTACTTTCACAATGGGTGCTTTTTTGGCTACAATCTAATCTTGGGTGATGGGTTGAGGCTTTCACGGAATGGAATGGAGGTGCTCCCTGAAAAAAAAAGGATTTCATTCTTAATTGTTACCGTTTTTCCCCCTGCAGTGGGCAACCCTGAGAATGGAGAGAGGAGCCAAAGAGAAGAACCACCAACTCTACAAACCCTACACCAATGGTAAGACTGGGTCTTGGGCCTTACCCTAGAAGCTCCCTCTGAAGTGTGTTCCTGAATGCTTTAGTTCCCCACAGACGCTTCACTGCGTGAAAGGTGGGCTGTATACAGAGTATTTTTAACAGGCGTTCTCCCAGCATGCTGCTCAATGGGGGTTCTCTTTTGCAGGAATTATTGCAAAAGATCCCACTTCACTAGAAGAGGAGATCAAAGAAATTCGTCGAAGTGGTAGCAGTAAGGCTCTGGATAATACTCCAGAGTTTGAGCTCTCTGACATTTTCTACTTCTGCCGGAAAGGAATGGAGACCATTATGGATGATGAGGTGACAAAGAGATTCTCAGCTGAGGAATTGGAGTCCTGGAACCTGCTGAGCAGAACCAATTACAACTTCCAGTACATCAGCCTCCGGCTCACTATCCTGTGGGGCTTAGGAGTGCTGATTCGGTATTGCTTCCTCCTGCCTCTCAGGTGAGGGCAGGGCCCAAAGAGGGGACTAAGGACCTGAGCTGCTGCTGCCTAAGCCCCGTGCATGATCTGCTTACCTGTGTCTGCTTGCTTTGTTTTCCCATTTTAAAAAGGATAGTAGGATTCTTTCATTGGCCAGTCCCTCTGGCCCTTGGAAGGGTACACTGGTGATTATTCTTTAAAGACCCTGGATTCTCTGCATATCAGACAGAAATAGTTAGATTTCTGAAGACAAGTTGCTTATCTAGATGGACAAAACACAGGGACAGGGAACATGATGTGCTTTCTGGCCACTCCTCCCTGGGCAGGGCTTATTCTTTCCTGTTTTAGTACAGAGGCAATATTGATCTTTAGTTTTTCTGTACCGTGTGTTTTCTTAGTGTGCCTTGCCAGGTGCTGGTACCTGCAGGCTCTACTTCCTGTTGCTTCACAAAGAAGCTGTGCTTTTGCCACCTTAAAGCCAAAGGGAAGGGTAAGACCACAGGACAGCAGATGCCTAAGGGCACAACAGCCAACCAACTTTAGGATTTTCCATCATTCTGGCTGCCTGATGCCAGAGGAGATAGTGTCAGCTGAGAACCAAATCCATAATCGCTGTCAGTTTTGAATAAAAATAAACTCTGGTTCTGATAGGCCTGTTTGCATTTCTAGATGGAACTCTAACCTAGGTCCTAGGTGATCAGGTCTTGGGGGTGATTTCATGATGCCACTTTCATTTTCCATATTCAGTTCTGTACATGGTGCAAGGATTTGTTTGCTGTGTTTTAATTTGTCTTCTCATTTCAGGATTGCTCTCGCTTTCACAGGGATTAGCCTCCTGGTGGTGGGCACAACCGTGGTGGGATACTTGCCAAACGGGAGGTGAGTAGAGTGGGAGTATCCGTGTCTGAAGGGTACTTGGGTCTGGAATGGTGGCTCCGATGTTGAAGGCCAAGCTATTTCTCTGGGTACAGCCAAGCCACAGAATCTTAGGTGGATGAAATAACCTAATGACCACCTAATGACCAGTGGCATTAGCACTGGTCTTTTTTTTTTTTTTTTTTTTACAATCTTGAT